AATTGTCACTGTTTGGCTACAGAAATTTGTTTGATACATATTAGTTTTTGAAACTGGACTACAGAACTTGATCAACTGGTTGGTTAATCTTAATTTAATTTTACAACAGTACATTTGACCCCCCAAAAATTGCTCCTAAAAATTTCCCTGTTTGATGACCCAATAATGAAATGGGATTTTTGCCCTTGCCATGGAGATTTACTCCATGCTGAACAAGACCAAGCTGAAGACTGAACTGGTTCTCATCTACAGCCTGGATGAGTTCAGGAGCTGCAGTGGTGTGGCTCTGTACCAGCTGCTCTTCATAGAGAACAATCTGCAGGACACCTTCAGAGACTGTGACTCTGCTGAAGATTCTCATCACATCTCCTCTGACCACAGCTGAATCTGAGAGGAGCTTCTCAACACTGAAGACAATCCAGACTTTCCTCAGGTACAACATCACATCTCACTGCACTGACTCACTGGCTBTATAGAGAAGAATCTGGTTAAAACGTCCCTGATTTTAACCAGAGTCATGAAGAAATTTGCTTCTCAGTAACAGAAGGGCAAAATGTATGTACAAAAAATAAAACACTACATGACATTGTAATGCTGTTTTATTGTTTTCATTTGTTTAATAAATATACTGTCGTGATACAACTTGGTACATGTTTGATTGCTTTTGGACATGAGCCTATTTTGGAGTTGTAGCCCCCCCCCGGGAGAAAAATCCACCAGCTGCCTCTAAAGTGAAGGTGTTGGTGTTTATCAGAGATGTGTTCATCAAAAGCTTAGTCTTAACRCTCACTGATTCATGGCAAACTGCATTCTAAAGTTGATCCATATTTTTTCGTGAAGCAAAATTACATGTACAGTGCTTAATACTGTGAAAGAATAAAATCTCAAAACAAYTGTTGGATGAACCCCCAGGTGGCACTGCATATCAAGCTAGTTTTGCTGGTATTGTTTCAATGTAAGGCTGGTCAATTAGAATACTAAATAAAAATGCTTGTATAGATTTTTGCTTTGGTAACACTATCTTCTTTGAATCCTTTTTGATTCATAAAGTGTAACAAATAGCTTGAATAGTGAAGTCAGTTATYAAGGCTAGTAGTTACAAATGTTTTTCATTGTAGACTGTTGGGGGTAAAAAAAAAACCCTCTTAGCTCAAATGTAAAGGAACTAAGTTTAGAAAAATGTCAACGTTTTGTTCGCATTTGTTGGTGTAAAAAGTACGTAGTCCATAGATGTCTTTGTTGTATTTTTAGGAGAGTAYTTCTAATGTAGGGCTTCTGCTTTTCCTGAATGTCACATATTTGTAGACACAAAGTTGTTCCTTCTTTCACTTTATTCTTTCAGGCATTCCTTCTGAAATTTACACAAGTTGTTTATTGGAATTAAAAAAGTATCATATTAAACAGGCCCTACAGCATAAAAATAAGAACAGTGGACTGTAGTGACTAACTCTGGGCTTATGAAACAGGAAGTGATAAGTGCTGTAGCCAAAACAAAGTAAATGAGAAGCAAAAAATGAAATCRGCATATTAGCAACACTTCCTTTATTTTTGGATTTGGGAGTCAAAGAGTTTTTATTTTACTTGCTCCATTTATATTCCTTTTTAGAAGAAAGATTTACACAGACTTGTTTGCTGCTCTGATTCTTCTGTTGTCTGTTCTGCGCTGAGAATAACCATGTTTTCTCCTGACGTGTACGCAGGTAACAATATTTGTCTGCACTCAGTAAGATGGATGAAAAGCTAGGCTGTTAGAACTATGTCAACATTTTTGAATTTTCTTTTATTTATTGTTTTTTTTAGTTAGATAAGTTTTGCTTTTTTTTAAGCAGAGAGCGGTTAGCATTTATTACTTAAAGTGTTGAGTTTTATTGCTATAAAGCCAACAAAGGGTTTATTTGATTTCAAATAACCAGGTGGGAAAAGTCTTTTGCAAAACTTGTAGGAGATACATCTCTCGATGAATGTTGTTGCCTAGATTATAGATGGTAAAACAGTTTACCACTTGACCAAACAATGACGACTTGCCTCGTATGTACAGTCATACAGAACCACAAATTTTGCAAAGTCTTGTGCAAAGATTGTTGCACAAGTAAGTGTTTACCTTTCAGTGAATGAAGCCGATAAACATTTTCTCTCTGGTCCATTGATTATCAAATAATTAAAAGGAACTGGATGTTTAGGATGWCTACCACTACAAAGGTCATGTAGTCAGGTGGTGAAAATTTTATGAGATCATAATGTCTTTTGTGAGTTCTAGTAATGTGTAACCATGCTAGTTCACAAAATAAGATTTTATTTTGTGCCTCTTCAGACTTAACATATAGTTGTCTTGAGCTCATGTGTATTTAAAAAAGTGCAAATAAATTAATGCATTTTCCAGATCATAGTGAGCTGAATTTTCTTAGAGGAAAAACGTTTGTCTGATTTTATTTTTTCCTTTTTAGAAGTGCAGCCTGAACATTTTTCTGAGACCAAAACCCACAGTTCAGATCGCACCATGGATCTCGGCCTAGCAGAGGACCATTTCTCACGACCTGTGGTAAGTAATCCTTGTTCTCTGTTAAACCAACCTATTTTACATTAATACTTTTAAACGTATTTTTTTGTTTTTTTATGTTATAGGGTTCATTTGTGGCATCAGACATTGAACAACTGAAAAACGCAATAGAGGAGTGTAAGAAGCTAATCTTGGAGCTGCCAGAACATTCAGAGAAACAAAAAGACACAGTGGTGAAACTGATCCACCTGCGCCTCAAACTGCAGGAACTAAAGGTGAGTTCTGAAGGGAAAATGTACTGTTTATGTTAATGGTGTCTTCAGGTTAAGAGTGCAGGGGGGCAGAGGTTTTATCTTTGTTTTAGCTAAAGCAAAATACAGTATTTGTATTACAATAACACTGAAACATGTTAAAAAGTTAGGATTTTTCTACATTTTTAATTCAGAATATTAAAAAGAACCAAAACCAGCATTTTTTAGCCTGAATGGCAATAGAAGATTTATAAGAGTACGGTACAGAAATATACAAAATAGTTTAAATATTTCAATTTCAATTCAAATTGAGGCTTCCATTAGCTGTAATTGTTGCACATTTGACCTGTTTTTAATTAAATAAATAATAGTTAAGTGACGTTACCAAGTTACACAGATTGAGTCTCAACCTCGGCAACATATTTGATAAACATTTAATTGTTAAATATAAGGTTGGGTTTTCTTTTACATTTTTCTTTTCACAGGATCCAGAGGAAGATGAGCCTAATCTCAGAATCATACTGGAGCACCGCTTTTCAAAGGAGAAGAGCAAGAGTGTAAAACAGACGTGTGACAAGTGTAGTACCATCATTTGGGGTCTCATCCAAACCTGGTATACCTGCACAGGTGAGCCATAGTTTATCCAGAACTTTCACTGTAGAAATTCAAAAGTACCAAACCTACAACACATGAGTTAAATGGAATCACTCTGCAGCATCAATACATTTGCTCTCTCACGCACACCTAGAGAAAATTTAGAGTTACCAGTTATCCTGATATTCACGTTTTTGGAGGAAACCAGACTACCTGGAGAAAACCCACCCATGCAAAGAGAGAACATTCAAACTTCATACAGAAATCTTCCAGACTGTGAAGCAAACCAGCAACATTTTTGCTGTGAAATTTRCCTTGATGGTAATTTAAATAAAGTATTTGATCTGTGAACTGATGGTGTTTTTTTAGGTCTAACACTAACTATGAAGGAGGAAATAAAACTGAGAGTCAAAAGTCCATGTCACAATCTGCAGAAGTGGAAGAGTTACAGAAGCTCAGTTTGTTAAAGAAAACTTACCTTTAAGCAGGGTATGTGAAAAGTTACGTTATGTAGTAAACTGTTTCAGGAAAGAAAAACTCAGCTTTCCTCCTTGKTCACATTCACACTGTTAAAGTCAAAACCTGGATCTATATCTGAGCCAGTAACATCCTTGGTTAGTCACTTAACCTGACTGCCTGTCTGACTTCAACTTAAAAATTTGATTTGTTTAAATTCAGCTCCTGTCATGACGGTGCCATTGTGTCTTTGTTTTTCAGGGTGCTATTATCGTTGCCATAGTAAGTGTATGAATCTGATCACAAAACCCTGCGTCAGGTCAAAGGTGAGCCATCAGTCGGAGTATAAACTCAACATCTGCCCAGAAATTGGACTAGATCGCCAGGACTACCGTTGTGCAGAATGCCACACACCGATTTCACTGAGTGAGTACAAATTTACAGTGGGTTTGATGAAGTAAGTAATGTTCTATGAGCATTTTAATTTAAATGGCTTTAAACACAAACGTAAACAGATTTATTAAACAGAACTTTTCTTTAAGAGTTTGGAGGAATATAAAGTGCCAGAAAGTATGGTGCTGTAGAGTTAGATGGGATGAAAATGTTAGAGTATGTACAGTTGACATGATGTAAACATAGCAGAACAAAGCTACCATCCAGAATCTCTGACTTAACTGGATACAGCTGAGATGTGGTTCATGGTTTCTTTTATTTTAAATATCCAGGCTCTAATGATTACATTTTAATATATATACCTTTCAGAGGGTGTACCGAGTGAGGCCCGACAGTGTGACTACACAGGGCAGTACTACTGCAGCACGTGCCATTGGAACGACACAGCTGTCATCCCAGCTCGTGTCATTCACAACTGGGAGTTTGAACCACGCAAGGTATCCTCAGCAACCGCATAAAAATACGTTCAACTAGGCCTGTCGCGATGGTCAATAAACCAATTAATTGCACGATAAATTTTTTTGAGGTCGGTAAAAAAAATGAGGATGATAAGTTTAATTTTCCTGCTTGTTTGTTTACTTTGTCTCTCTCCCTCTCTGTGCTCCGCTGCACAGGAGCTCAGCTGACTCCTCTCCTGTTTTCTTAGTGTCGGGAGGAGTGAACTGTCGCTTTAGCATGAGAGCTCGTAGCAATAACAAACTAAAGAAACGTTTCAATGCAGAACGCGGCTGCTGCAGTGTCGGAGCACTAGAGCCTGAATTTCGCTGAGGGGAGACACAGAGAGAGAGGAGGAGAAGGGGTGGGGCTGGAACTCCCCCAGACCCGCGACAAGCTCGTCAAGACTTTACCTGTAGCTCCCAAAAATAACAGGAAACTTAAACGCACCATCTGTGTTTTAACAAAACACCCAAAAAACCTGTAGCTGTCCCAACAACTCATGGGGAAAACTCTGAACTGTCTGATTTCCTCCCCCGCAGCGCTCTGCTTGTCTCCTCACTGACTGTCCCCTCCTCACACACACACAGAGACACGTTTGTTCTTCTATCCTCATGGGGACTTTGCAGTGACTTTCATTCATTTACCAGTATTTTCTATTACCATTTGACCCTAAACCTAGCCTACACTTTACATGGGATGTGAACTGGGCTTATGTCTCCATAAGAAACAGTGGGTCCTCACCAGGCTGTGTAGTTTGCTTCATCTCTAAAGACATGCTGCTCTTTAATATTGTTTATTTACTGTCTTAGTTGTGTGTGGTGTTTAAATTACATTTTGTTGTTCTTTGTTTTTTTTTATTCAAGTGCATTTTTTGTTAGAGACTGAGAGTCCACTTTGTTAAACATTCTTTAAAAATTAAAGTTTATTGATTTATTACACTTACATAATATGCTTTTATAATTATTAGTTGTAAAATGCTCACCAGGCAATATTATCGCTTATCGCAATAATTTGTGAGACAATTAATTGCCCAGCAAAATTTGTTATCGTGACAGGCCTACGTTCAACGTGTAAACAAAACATCAAGTTGCTGCTTGTGTTAAATGGGTTTACTACACATGTTGATCAGGGTGTATGCTTTTCTCTTTTACCTCTGATAAATACTTAAATGTAGTTGTTTTGTACAAGAGAAAAATGACAAATATGTGTGAACTCGTATGGCGCTGAAGGTCCTGTACTAATCCTATCAGTTTGCACATTAGAAGGAATACCTCACAAACTTTGAGTTGTCAGTAGCTCAACAGAGGAGCTTGTGAGGTTTGAGGAAAATAAATCTTCAAGAGTYAACGACATTTAAACAAGATTGCATTCCCATATCTACGGTAATAGAAATATTAGGTTATGAAAGCTTGGCAGATTTTGACCCAATTTTTTTTATCTTAAATTCAGGACAGGAATGTTTCTCACAAACAAATGTGTTTTTCACAATATGTTGCTTAAGATTTGTGATAATATCACATCGTTGCTGCAGTAATCAGTTGACCTTTTAAAATGGTGAATCCAAATATCAAATGAAAAATAAGTGAGCAGAAATAACAGCGGGCTTTGTTTCAGGTCTGTCGCTCCTCTTTGCGGTATTTGGCACTCATGATGTCACGTCCGGTGTTGAAGCTGAAAGAAATCAACCCGCTGCTATTCAACTTTGTGGAGGAACTGGTTGAGACCAGGGTGGGTAGCTTGAATCTTTTGGATGTTGAGTAAAGATCTTCTGTGAAGGTGTAGAGTTTTAAATAAAGATATTTCAGTCTTTTTTTTACACACCTGTTAAACTTTTTTCAAATTTAGTACATATTTTGAATGTTATTGCTCTTTTTTTGCATTCTGGACTATTGGGCCATTGTTTTGCATTGTTATTGTGTGAAATGAAAGAATGGGACAGAGAAATAAGGCTGCTGGTTTGCCTCTGAGCTGCTGACAGAGGACTTGAGTTAGTGAGAACTGGGATGGGATGAAATTTGCTCTAAGAAATTATGTCATCCCTCACCTTTTTTGGCATAACTGGGTTGTTTGTTGTAAGCACACACTGACATAAAGCTGAGTTTGTGTGACTTACCAGATGGACCAGTACCAGCTTTAAGAAGCTGTTTCTTTATGACGATAAAATACATTTTTCRTGTGAAAAGGGCAAACCTTTATACTTTAGATACAAATGAAACTTGGTGAGCAAAACACACTTTTTGTATGAAATGTTGCAAACAGGTGAAGGGAGAGAGAACTGAGTTTTTTGCATTAAGATAATCTGACCTTATGTTTGTGTGTGTGCCTGTGTTTGTGTGTTGTGTGTCGTTATTTTTCACAGAAACTTCGTCAGGATATTCTGCTGATGAAACCCTATTTTTTAACTTGCAAAGAGGCAATGGAGGCCCGGCTGCTACTTCAAGTAAGTAACAGTTAAATGATGCGTTTGTGGCTGCTCGATCYGTCCCGGCAGCACGATATGTACYGTCAGCTCATTTGCGCATGCGCTAAATGATAGACTTCTGGAATGTGCTCGATTTAGAAAACAACAACATTTATTTCTATACTTAATTATAAAGGTGTGTTACATTATATTCTGAAAACAGTTTTAATATTGTACACATTTTGATTAATAAAATATAGATTCACAATGCATACATATTTATCAATAATAACTTTTAAATAATAATTATTTTCTAGACAAACATGTTATAACTCATCTTCGTTTTATTTTATTTTTTCTGGAATAAAGATTCACCGCTGTTGCAAATGTTGCCTATTCTATGAAACATTGCAGGTGATGAAAGACTGAAATTGAATGAATTCTGTCATCAGTTTAGCAAAATGCTACATGCTAAAAACAATGCTTTCGGGACAGGACARATCGTGYTTCTGGTACGGATCGGACAGCCACATTGTTTACTAAAACACTTTGAACTCTAAGTTCTTCACTCTGAAAGTTGTTAAAATGTTACCCAACATCACCACCTTGTGGTGACTATATAGAACTTGCTTACATATTGTGTGCATACATGACCTAATGAAAACAAATCTCTCAAAATGTTGTTTGTTCTTGTTTTATAATTTGGTTCTCCACAGAAAATATATTTTTAAAATATGCCAAGCATGTCCACTAGTGCAGTAAACCGTAAATAAAAACTTCAAGAAGATTGTTATTCAATTGGAGAAAATCTGTTAAAAATACATTTGAATAAGATATTTGTTGGCTGCTTTAATGTCAAATACAAAAGTTTTTATTTTAATTTTATTTTTTTACCAGCAGTGTTGAATCTTGTGTTTAGGTTGCTTGTGCGACTTCTTCTGTTCTGATTTTATGAAATATTTCCCACTCTTCCCGTCTTCCTCAGCTACAAGATCGACAGCACTTTGTGGAGAATGATGACATGTACTCACTACAGGATTTGATTGACATCTCCAACGGCAGACTCAGCTGTTCCCTCACTGAGATCCACACAACTTTTGCGAAACACATCAAACTTGACTGTGAGGTGAGCTCGTACTGTAACAGAGTCTTAAAATGTGAATTTTTTACATTTGGTGCAGCACAATATGGAAATGTGTTTCATACTGGTAAACTCAATATTAAGCTAACCACTTGTAAATAAGTGGAGTTTGGCTTTGTATGGATTTGCTTGCTTTGTAGTTTTATAAATCGTCTTTGCTTTTAACAGTATGTGATTGCACTTGTTAAATAATTTTATATAATTTCTAGTGAGGGAAATTGGAAAAAACAGTGAGTTGAATCATTTTTACTCAGTTTTCTGAAATCTTTGCAAGGCATCTGCTATTTAAAAAAATACAAACAATATATGCGATGAATGTAACTGTAGATTAAACTACATAAAGTACACAGAATGTTGCATTTCTAAAACTTTTTTGTCTCCTATTCTTGTGTCTGTTCATTGAATATATATGTGTGTGTGTTTGTGTGTGTGTACCCATACTTGTGTGTAAAGCGCTGTCAGGCCAAAGGGTTTGTCTGTGAGCTCTGTAAAGAGGGAGACGTCTTGTTCCCTTTCGACAGTCATACCTCAGTCTGCCAGGACTGTGCTGCTGTATTCCACAGGTTAGTTGTTGTTGTTGTTGTTGTTGTTGTTGTTGTTGTTGTTGTTGTTGTTAGTCACCTCCAAACATTCAAACTAAATCAAACAACTGTTTAGCCACAATTAAAAGAAAAATCTCAATTATTCTGTTGCTGACTTGTTTTTACTCAAGAGTAACTTTAAATCATGCACACCATTAATCTCTTGTCCAAATATTAGACTTTCATTTAAGGAAGCAAAACRTGGAAATTTCCAAAAACCTCTCTTTGGCACTAAATCAACCCTTTCAAAAACCAGCAACTTTTCCATTTTCATCGACAACACCTCAGTTTCCCCTAGGTTAAAAGTCTGTGTGTAATGTTATTTAAATCACATATCGGTACTCGTTCAGCATACTTTCACCTTTAAAAATATTGCCTGTCTCCATCCATCCCTCTCACCCACCAGTACTGTAGTTCTGGTTCACTCTTCAGCCATACACTGTTTATGTTACTGCAACTCCCTTCTTTTGTTTTATTGCAAAATCCATCTATAAACTCCAGGTCCAGAACCCCTTCCACCAGTCATAAAACCTGTCCTGCAGCATCTTCTCTGGCTCCGCATCAAATTTCACATCTTCTATAAAATCCTGCTCTTCACCTTCAAAGCCATCAATAATTTCGCCCCCCCCAGTAGCTCTCACAACTTGTCCACGTTAACACACCCTCCTCCACCCAACCACCAACTGGTTTAAACACTATTCAGCCACTCGGCACCCCACCTCCACACACACACACACACACAAACACATACATTAAAAACTCTCCCACCATCTCCATTTTTAAATGTATTATTGTTATTACAGAAATGGACAATATTAACTTTCATTTGTTGTGTACATCTTCAGAGATTGTTACTACGATAACTCCACTACGTGCCCACGATGTGCCCGAATGACTGAACGGAAACAGGATGACGTGCCGGATCAGAAAGAAGCTGAACTCCAGAAATGAAGTCCTGCTCCCTTTCTCAGCCTACCAGATGTTGTCCTCAGCCTACCAGGGGTCCAGGAGATTTGATCTATAAAACTACCTTCTCGTATTTGACTTACATTATTTATGTTTGTGTTCCAGTGTTTTTCTTTTTCTTTTTCTAACGCACTACCTTATGTAACAGGGAACTTCCAAACTCGTCTGGAATCAAATAAATCTTTTAACATAAGCACCATCTTTTGATGTAATGCTCTGCATGTGTGAAGTGAGGATGAGTCATCATCAGTTCTCATGTCTGTTTGTGTAAAGTTAGTTTATTTTCCTTTAGATGCATTATTTCTCAGTTAGAGATCACACGTCTGTGCTCAGTTACACCACATGACCAGCTCTGCAGACTCCTTACATAAAGCCTGTCCTGTTTTATAATTTTTTTTTAGAATGAGATTTCCAGCTTCAAATTCAAAAAATACAGTCCTGTTTTATGATTTCTGCAGAATAGTAAAACCTTGTGCTCAACTCGGAATCATTTTATTGTTTAAAGATGGTTTCACTGAAATCTGGTTAACTGTGATCGTTGTTACTTTAGTTCTCTCACTGATTTGAGACTTGACTTATTAATCTGTTTTAGGATTTTATGAAGTCTTAAATTTATGTTTTCAGGCCTTTCTGTTATATTTACGGTCAGCATTTCTCCCCGTTCCCCCCTCTGGATGCTGAATTGCTAAAGATAATTGTACGACAAAAGCAGGTGTGTGTACTGATGACATAACGACAACAGATATCGATTCATAGCATGTATYTGCCGTAATAAGACGTGTTTTCACTTTTATTTAAAACTCTGAATTTGTTTGTACATTTGTGTTTTTTATCTCTTTCTGCTTCATGCATTGTAGAAGATCGCTGTGGATCCTCATGAACGTTGTGTGCCTGAGATGTTTACGTTAAAGCTGGTATCCAAATGTCTTAATGCCATCATTTTAGTGGGTTCAGTCTTACAGCACTGACAACACATTGTGTCCAGAGATTATAAATATATTAGGTGGTAAATTTGTGTAAATGTGATTGTTGAAAACTATATTTTGTCTGTGTTTTTTTTTCCCAGCAGCATGACGTACTGTATTTTTTTAATTTTTGAAGCACATACATGGTGTTGCTAAAAGCAATGCCCTGTTGTAAAACATCCTATCAGTGCATGAATAAAATCATTGAAATCATTTAAACTGCAGTCTGTATTTCACAGATTGGTCATTTAAGAGTGATAGCATTCAAATGAAATAAGTGGTTTCCTGCTGTTTTAATTAATTTTCTGACTGAGTTAGAGATTGTTGATGAAGACCTCCAGGACTTCCTGTTAGACAGCATATTTGGAGAGCTGGACACAGAGCTTTGATTCACAGGGGTCTTGAAGATTGACTACGTGTAATCTACCAGATTTATCACAATACATCAGTTTGGTTAATGAATCATCTCTATCGCAAACTCTGTCGTGATATGACTTTCTGTGCATTTATTCCAATGTGTTTCTGCATTCTTGGTAAATCTTTCCACCACAATATCAAGTAAATTCTCACAAGTCTGCAATCCATATAATGCAATATATGTCCATCTAACAAATGATTGTTAGATCTTGGTTCACATTGGGCTTATGATGATATCAATGCTTTTTTGCCTCTATGAAACTGAATCATTCAATCGATCTGGATTGTTGTTACACCGAGGGTTCTGTTCAGTATCTTAGCTGTTCCTAGAACTGGGCCCCTTCAAACATTAGTCTTCACTTTGTTTCTGAAGTCTGTTGGGGCCACTCTTCAGTTGGGGGGGTCACAGCCCCAAATGCTCCAAAGACCCCTGGGAACACTGATGCTTTGACTCTCCACAGCTTCTCTGTTTTCTTTTTCAGCCCTTGGTATTTCTCCAGTTTCCTGTGCTCCTTCGTGATGTTAGTCAACATCTGTCACCATGTGAACCAACTGTCCAGCTGGTCAATCACCTGTTTATCCCTCTGTCAAAACTTTAAACATGTTTTTCATTTAGTTTGCGGTTAATTGTAAATATAATAGTTTAATAATGTTGTAATAGTTCATTTAAATCTAAGTTGAATGGATTTATTATGGACAGAAACCAAAGCAGAATTGAGGGGAAAATGTCTAAGATTAAAAATAATAAAGTGTAACGTATTAAATATCTAAATAAAGAAAGAAATTACCATTTGGAGCAAATCTCGCGATAGTGGCAGGTGAGTTAAACTCTGGTCCAATCAGCGCAGAGCGCAGCGTCCCCCCTGCTGATCCAATCTGCCTGGGCTTTAATTATCGGGCTGCAGACAGAGAGGAACCACATCCATGATGAGCAGGACGGTCCTGTGATTGTTGTCCCTGGACCAAACCCGACATGGGACTTTTCTCTGTGAGCGTGTGGCCTCTTCGGAACCGGGTGCGCTCCGTTGGGTCGTGGAGACGAGACTTTTCCACAGTTTCAGCTACTTTCTGCATCTGCAGGAGCCCCGCTTTGGTAAAGTGATGCTGTTTCTATTTGTGAACAGAGTTTGACATTTATTTTATTTCAATTTGCTTTTCCTGTCAAACGCTTTGCTTATTATCAGTTTTCAGGTTGTGATCACTTTTCTGCAGATCCGTCGTGGGAAAAAAGTCAACATCAGAGCACAAAGCAAGACCTCAAAACCTCAAACAAACAAACAAACTGTCTCTGTGTTTATGTATCATTCCTCAGTTGTTTGGGCTCCCAGGAGAGGTGGAGGCTCTGTGCGTGTGCTCGTGTAATTTATGAGACAATTTCCTCAGTTTCAAGATGTTCGTTTTTACAGCTCTGCTTGTTTATCTCATCCAGTTCAGTTTAAGTTTAGACCTGGAATTAACCATGCATTATAATAGTATCACTAAAGGTTTATGAAATGTGTTAATTTATGTTGGACAAAAATAAAATAAAATAAAAACCAGACAATTAAAATTCAGAAGCAATTTTTTTGGTAACTTAAGTTTAAAACAAGTAACAAAATAAATTAAATATGCACACATGTATATGAGGTATTAGAGTTCTATTAAAACTTTTTGCTTCCATTTGAATAGGATTATCATGACTTCATAAAACCAGGTTAAATGAGACACGGTCCATAGTTCGACTGAGTAATGATTTCAGTAATCCTGCAAATAATGTTAGGAAAAAATATATATATGATGGATTTCTCTATTAGAAATTTTAACTGGTTCTGTGAGACTAGAAGTCATTTTTTAAACATTTACTTCCAAGCTTTTTTGCCAACAGGTGATTCATTTACATTTTCATCTTCATTCTAGAAGAAGCTGCACCTTCAGAGRAGATGTGAAGGACTTAATCGACACGATTTTACGCTGACTCGGTTATTCTGCACAAGCAAACCACCAAAAGGTACCAGGACCCTCTGCTCTGCTGTCTGATGTTGCTGCGTGAGATAATGAGTGTAAATGAGTGCACCCAGTGACCCAAATCCTTTTGGCCGGCCTGAGGCATGTTATTATTTTTCCTCTTTGTGTTCGCTTCAAGGTTTTCAAAAGTTTTTCCTAAAAAGGGAGAAAAAGTCCAACAGCAAAAGTTCTGCAGAAAGTAAGAAATATGGTCATTATTTAAAAGCACTTTCATAAATTTGCATTATTTCCACTGCTGATGAAGTTGTATTGATATTGATTGCTGTTTAGATGAGAAAAATAAAGAAAAAGTGTCTGAAGCAAACAGTGATGGAAACAAAAGAGGAGAAAAAGAGGAGGATTCTCATTGGTGGACATCGTTTCAGGTGTGAATTTATAAATTACTTGCATTTCTTCAAGTTTTAGAAATGTTTCTCTTAATATTACAACACATCTACTAAAATATAGGACAAGTTTATTTAACTTGGGCAAAAAATAGGCTGTTTATTTACTTTTAAATGCCTCGAGGTTGAATTGTTTAGAATAATTTCTGTTAGCAAAAATACTTGGCTATCTAGGTTCAGTGATCGACTGTCTTTAAAAATCTTAACAAGTCAACTAAAGGTGTGATGAATGGTGGCCTACAGCAGCCTTTGTATGTGTGTGTGTGTGTGTGTGTGTGTGTGTAAACATGTTACGTTGAATAGAAGTGCAGACGAGTCACTATAATAGCAATCAGGCTGCTATTCAGGCACTATATCCCCCCCACCCCCACCCCCCACCAAATTTCATGCATCAGAAATATTTTCCGTTCGATAAAAAAGCCGTGATGAACCTTGCGGTGGGTGCAGCCGGCATGGCCACAGCCTTTCTGTACTTTCACTTCAGAGGAATCGGCGTCCAGATCTCCTGGAAGGATTTTGTGCATCGCTTCCTGAGCAGAGGCCTGGTGAGACTCTGGGTCTGTTTCTATCCTCGTTCCTTGTTTGTTTGCACCGGTATGAACAATTTAGTGTTTTTGTTTTTTGTCTGTTGCTCTCTGCGCAGGTTGGTCACATTGAAGTTGTCAATAAACAGTATGTCAAAGTGTTCCCCGCTGATGGAGTGAACTCGTCAGAGGTGGTTCGTAAGAAAACAATAAACTTTTTCCAAAGATTCAGATTTCCATCTGAATGGAGGAAAGTGATGTTTTGCTCAGGGAAGGTTTGTTTTTGTATTTCAGAGCTATCTGTGGTTCAACATCGGCAGTGTGGACTCATTTGAACACAACTTGGAGATGGTTCAGCAGGAAATGGGTCTGGACTCCACGCAGAAAATACCTGTCCTCTACACCAGTGAAAGCGATGGGTGGGAGATGGATCTGGTGTTTAAGAACTTAAAAAAATAAAAATATTTTGGATTTACTTCCTCATGTTGTTTTTCTTTCCGCCCCACAGAGCGATCTTTTTAAGCATAGTCCCAACCTTACTCCTGGTGGGACTTTTCCTTTTTGCGATGCGGCAGGGACCGTTGGCTGGAGTGTTTGGGGGTAGCTTGAAAGGAAACCCCTTCAGAATGAGTGAATCCAAAGCCAGGGTTGTGAAAAACATCAGTGTTCGTTTTAAGGATGTGGCAGGATGTGAAGAGGCCAAGCAAGAAATTTTGGAGTTTGTCAACTTCCTGCAGAACCCAAGTCAGTATCATGACTTGGGAGCTAAGATCCTCAAGGTTTGTCAAAGAACATCTGTACCGCTATACAGGCAGATTTCTCAGGTAATATTTGATGCCATGTCTTTGTGTTGTCAGGGTGCTTTGTTATCAGGTCCACCTGGAACAGGCAAGACTTTGCTGGCCAAGGCCACAGCAGGAGAGGCCAACGTTCCCTTCATCACAGTCAATGGTTCGGAGTTCCAGGAGGTTTATGTTGGTGCTGGTCCTGCAAGGGTCAGTCCTGATCTCCATAAAACGTTTGTGTTTTGCCTGGTTTTTGGTCGTTGCGTTAATCATACGAGGTTTCACTTCGCTGTCGTAGATAAGGGATGTGTTTGCCACAGCTCGCAAGATCGCCCCTTGCATCGTCTACATCGATGAGATCGATGCAGTCGGCAGGAAGAGGGGAAAAGGAAACTTTGGCACCCAGAGCGAACAGGAAAACACTCTGAACCAGTTGCTTGTGGAAATGGATGGTGAGCTGTTACATCTCTATCAGGTCTTTGTTTTACTCTGGATAGGATTCACAAACCCCATGTGTGTTTCACCATTCTGTCAACGCAGGGTTTAATAGTAGCACTAACGTCGTGGTGTTAGCTGGCACCAATCGAGCTGATGTCCTCGATCCTGCTCTGACGAGACCAGGACGCTTTGACCGACATATATATCTGGGTAAAGTCCTGCACAAGATATCCTTATGTGTTGTTGTGTAATTTCCTTTTCCTACATAAATGCCCTAAACAATTTCCCTTATGCAACATAATTGGCTTAATTCTTCTGTTTATGTGAAGATTATTTATTCCAAACATTGTTTTTTTCCCATTGCTGAATGTTATCACCATGTCAGTAAACACCAGGCACCAAGCTGTAAATGCAGTTTCCCGTCTCCAATGTGCACGTAGACACTGGTGTAACTTTATTAAATTTTTTTTCTGCCTGAGTTGAGGTGCTAAATTTCCACGTTGATTCCATCGTAAGTTATTAAAACCACACGTTGCATGCTTTTCTCTTTGATGGAAATGTTTGATCTTTTGGTGCCTGCTGAAATCTAATTTGCTTGATGCTTTGCAGTGCGTGGTGGGGACCGGCTGTCTTTCTGACAGAGAAAATATAATCACAGTGAGGGAACTGCTGTTTTTTTTATTTCGTAAAAGAAATATGTAAAACTGAAGGCAGCCAAATGATGCCACAATGTCATTGTTAGCCGGTTAATTTGGTCGTTGTTTTTTTCAAGCAAACATTTAAATGTTTTAAAGTGAATAAATATTTCGTTCTGCTATTTAAAAGTTGGTGAAGATACGAGCAATTTTAAAAGCTCATGCGTTGAAAGCTTGAAATTTAACTTTCACAGCCTCTGAGATCTATCAGCCATCAGTTTAAAAACTAACCTGCAAAATCCACTTTATACTTGTTTAGGCTGCCAGTAAGCAGCATTCAGAGCCGGATCTTGGCATAGGCAAACTAGGCGGTCACCTAGAGCGCCATCTGCTGGAGGAGGCGCCGAACAGCAGAAGAAAAAAAAAGTTATTTGTAATCCCTGGTTGTAACTCTGCTCAGCGCCCCTTTCAACAAGCTTTGTCTTAAAAAACTATAATGAAGTATTTTACAAGAAAAATAAACTACTCCTACTACTAATCCTGCTGACATCCATTCTGACACAGTGAGGACTGACTTTGTCAGCTGAGGACCTTATGAGGTAAAATCAGACTTAAAGAGAGACAAAAAGAGAGAACCTTCTAAATCTTTGCACAAATTGTGAACAGGGTCTTTTGTTTACCCTTGTCATTTAATTTAATTATATTTACTTTATTTATTCATTTAATTTGTCGTGTGATGTATGTTTGTGTTTAAAGCAAATAAATCTAAGTTTATAGTAAACTAGTGGGGGGGGGCGGGGGTGCGCTTCAACTCGCCTAGGGCACCAAAATGGCTAGAGCCAGCACTGGCAGCATTACAGACTTAGCAAAAGACAAGGTCATAAAAATAATTATCATAAATTTCTAAGCTCCTTTACTTCCAGTTTTATATATCTTTAGTTTGACTTAAAGTAAAATAAATTGGTCATACAGCTGAAGTTTCCACCCATGTGTGTTGGCTCGCATTAAATAAAAACCTTAAAAACAGGAGCAAATGAATTGTCGCATGATGTTCTGTTTCATAAAAAAATGTTCTTTTTCAGGTCTGCCTGACAAAAAAGACAGRGCGTCCATCTTTAAAGTGCATCTGAGACCTTTGAAGTTGGACCCCAGGTTAAATTTAGAAGCATTATCCAGAAAATTAGCTACACTGACTCCAGGTTTTACTGGTAAGCATAGAAGGTGGGGCTGCAGCTTATGATGCTCAGATCTTGTTTTAATTAATTAATTAATTAATTAATTAATTAATTAATTAAACATTTTTTACAGGAGTATTAGGTGACAGCCAGTACTTTGTGGATCTCTTGTGTCCTTTAGGAGCTGAAATAGCTAATGTTTGTAATGAAGCAGCACTACGAGCTGCACGCCACCTGGACCAGTGCGTCGACTCTGAGCACTTTGAGCAGGCAGTGGAGAGGGTCGTTGGTGGTAAGTTTATAAACAACATCTTGTAACTTCAAAATAATAAATCCATATCAGTGCCGTGATGTTTTCTCTTTTACTCGGACAGTTGGGAGGAAAACTTGGCCACCAGTCACAATGATCTTTTGCTTAGTTTGTTCTTGATTTCTAACAAGATCAACCAACCTGATTTTAAAATCTTACCTCATTTAGTGACGCTACACTCTGAGGTCACATGGTTGCATTCTAATATGCATCAGTTCCAACACACTTTGGTCTGACTGCCTCAGTATAATCCTGCACATCGTCGTCTTTGCTTTCAGGTCTGGAGAAAAAGACTCAGGTGCTGCAGCTACTAGAAAAGACCACCGTGGCGTATCGTGAGGCAGGTCACGCTGTAGTCGGCTGGTTTCTCGAGCACGCAGACCCACTGCTGAAGGTCTTTAGTGCACCTACTTTCTGCTTTTTACAATTAATTGCATTTGTACAGTTAAACTATTAGAATTGAATCTCGTCCGTCAGGTTTCCATCRTTCCTCGAGGAAAAGGTTTGGGTTTTGCTCAGAACCTACCTAAGGAACAGTACCTGATGACCCAGGAGCAGCTGTTTGACAGAATGTGCGTGATGCTGGGCGGTCGAGTGGCTGAGCAGGTTTTCTTTAGTCAGATCACCACCGGAGGACAAGATGATCTCAGGAAGGTCACACAGTCAGCATATGCACAAGTAATCAGCCTTTTTTCCCCTTTGTATTCAGACTTGATTCAAAACCACAGCCCCATCAGATGATTCCCTCAGGTGAKTATTTATTTTCCCTCTTTAGGTTGTCCAGTTTGGAATGAATGAGGCTGTGGGTCAGGTTTCCTTTGACTTCCCCCAGGAGGAAAATACAATTACAGAGAAGCCCTATAGTGAGTCTGCAGCGCAGCTTATAGACCAGGAAGTCCGCTCGCTCGTGGACACTGCCTTCCAACGGACACTTCAGCTTGTTGTTGACAAGAAAGAAATGGTGGAAAAGGTTTTGGCCATTTTTTTACTCTGTGCAGATTTCATTATAAAGAAGAGAACCTGTAACCTTAGTGAGCTAGCGTTATACAATAAACAGTTTGTTACTCCACAAACTACCAAATGCAAATTAAATCTCATGCTTCAATAACTAAAACCTTTATTTTCTGTAATTATTATATCATTGCAGGTGGCGAAACATCTCCTGGAAAAAGAGTCCCTTGACAGAACTGATATGGAGGAGCTTCTAGGGCCTCGACACTTTCAGGGGAGGAGCTCATACGAGGAGTTTGTTGAAGATTTGGAAGAATTTGAAAACAAAAGCAAAAGCACAAAAGAAAACCTGCAAGCTGAACTAAAGAAATCTGCTCCTTACTTATAGGCAGATATACAGGAAACATTTTTGGACTTTGCAACTATTTCACTCATGTGAATTGGAAGAAAAAAACAGTTGATTTTTCTCAAGTTTTTAATATTTAATGAAATATTGACTATATTATAGAAACTTTATTTTTTACACTGGTTGGTGATTGTGTATATACAGCRGGTAAAATAAGTATTGAACAGTCACCATTTTTCTCAGTAAATATGTTACTAGAGGTGCTAATGACATGAAATTTTCACCAGATGTTGGTAACAACCCAAGTGATC